AACTATTAATGAAAGACATAATAATGAAACAAATCACATAATAGATCACAACGAAGTGATTCAGTGTAATGAATACTGATACTAAGTAAGTGAACTGTGCACTCTGGGGATACAATTTCAAATCCATTCCAGTGTAAGCAAAAAGAGCACTTTTAGAAGAAATTGACTCTGTTCCATTGCTCACTCAGATCACATCCACACCTTACACTAGCTCTCCCTGTGATGACGTATAAAGTAGATAAAACTGAAATTACCTGCCAAGCCCTGTTATATTTGTTTATTGCTTATAATAACAACTGAAATCTCATAATCCATGCAGATATCTGACAACATTCCTAATTTCAAAGAATAATGTGAGTAAATAAACATTAAATGTACTGAAAAGCCGGACAAGATATCATTGAGTACAGATTTGTTTAATTCTTGTGATTATAGAAAGTACATTGCTGCTACAAAACATGGTAGTGCCTTGGAGGTGAAACAGGTCTAAAATTCAATTCTTTATACAGACTTTGAGTTTTGGAGGTACTAAATGTGGAGTCTTTGATTAAACAGGGGAATGCCCTGTGTAGTCAATACGCAGTATTTGTATTCTGATCACAGACATCAAACTTCTGGTGTTGTGCAACTCATGGTTCCATTTCAGACTCGTCTTTATTCTAAACTCTTCCTCAGTCAACCAGCAACTGTAGCAATACCAAACTAAACATCTAGCCACTTATTATTCGCTTATTATTCTGTGTATTTATTTAAATATGTTTGTATTTATGGTGTGTTTTCAATAATAATAGCGATTTTTTTTGAAGTAATGACATTTGCACATACAGCACTAGAGAGGCAGATAGATGCCTAAGAATGGGCACTGCAAAAATCAGCAAGCTGAGCACAGAGCTGCATAAGTTAGCCAGTGAGCTATTGCAGTGCTAGTGATAAGAAATGATGAAAAAGTCTCTCTTAAGAGACCCTTTGGATCTAAAGGATCTCAGCTGAGGTTCTGGCTCAGCTACAAGATTTTGCAGTCAAATGCCAGTGGGAAGCTTACTGCCACAGGCTTAATGCCTGAATAACAAATTCTTTATTCCTCTCTGTTACATACCTGGTCTTATAAAAAAGGAAATAACACATGGTAAGGCCAAAGAGTTGTGCAGCCTGTTTGGAAAATGATTTTGAGGAAATATTAGTTTTAATAAATGTAGAAATTGAAACTATGTATCAGTTTAATAAAAATTGGCAGATTTGACCCAAGAGCTAACTTCAACTTACTCACAAATTACTACTGAAATAAAAATGTGTTACTAAATATATCTACTATTACGAATGCTCAGCTCAAGTCCACAGAGCCATGTTACAGATTAAAATTGATGCTTTCTAAATTTCAGCCATGCAAAGATTTTGAGCAACTCTGGTTGGATTGGAGCACAGTGTTCACATTAGACATGTTTAATTTACTGTGATGTTTTTAACGCATTGTTTTGACATTCCTTCACAGTAATTACAATACCTTCAGAATTATAACATACAAGTAAATCAAACAAGCAGGAATTTGGAGAAGCAGCACACTATCAAAAAATCAGAAAATGAGCAGCTATGGGTAAAGTTGCACTACGGTGCTACCATCGCTTCCATCCCCAGCAAGCCACCTACAAGGCAAAAAAGATTAAAACTTGTCATACAATCATAGAACCAGAGAAACATAGAATGTCTTGAATTGGAATGGACATTAAAGCTCATTTAGTTCTACTCCACTGCTGTGGGTTGGGCTGCCACCCACTAGAGTGGGCTGCCTAGAGCCCCATCCAACCTGGCCTTGAATGTCTCCAGGGATGGAGCATCCATGACTCTCTGGGCAGCCTATGCCCAGAATGCCTAAGAATTTTCTCTTAGCATCTAACCTAAATCTCCTATATTTTAGTTTAAAACTGCTCCCCCTTGTCTTATCAGACTATGTAAAGTATGAGCTTCTGCCTTTTTTATAAGCTCCCTTTAAGCACTGAAAGACCTTTAAGTACTGAGCTTTCCCTAGAGCCTTCTCTTCTGCAGGCTGAAAAAAAAAACCAGCTTCCTCAGCCTTTCTTTGTAGGAGAAGTGCTCCATCACTTTGCTCTTCCAGACAGAATCCCTATATTCTTCCCATGCCAACAATTTCTTCTTTCACTGCCTGGACATTTATGGAGTTTGGCCATTAGGTCATTATTCAGCCATGCCATTTTCCTGTCTTCCTTCTATATTTCTTACATATATGCATGGAGTGCATATATGTAAGAAATGCAATGGCTCTTGTACTCTAAGAAAAGTATCCTTAAAGAGTTGCAGAGTTGCCAGCTCTGCTCCATTCTTTTGTCCCTGACCTGTTCCTTTGTCCCTAAAGACAGCTTCCCAGGGGATCCCTCCCACTAATTTCTTAAACAGAAGTTTGCTCTTCTGAAATTCAAGATCTTGACTTTGCTTTTTGCCAGTCCTTAATCCTTGAGATCATGAACTCAACCCAGACTGCCTTCAGTCTTAAGCTCTTCAATGATCTCTGCATTGGTGAGCACCAGGTCCAGTAACACTTCTCTTCTGGATGGTTTGTCTAATGCCTGGACCAGGAAGTTATCCTCAGTGCACTCCAGGAGTCTCCTGAATTGCTTACAACCCACTGTATTTCTTTCCCAGCAGAAAATGGATAGTTGAAAATTTTCATCAGTGTGAGTGCCTGAGAGTGTGATGCTTCTTGTAGCTGAAGCAAGAAGTCCTCATCAACAAGCTCCCCTTGATGAGGCAGTCTGTAGAAGACATTAACCATCAGATGCCCTTTGTTAGACCAATCTCTAACTTTAACTCACAAACTTTTTAGCCTGATCATGGCTGTTTCTCATAAACAGCTGTCTATTTCTTAACATATAGGGCAACACCTTTGCCTCTTCTTCCCCTGTTCTTCTAAAAAGCTTATAGCCCTTGATAGCAGTCTTCCAGTTGTGTGACTCATCCCACTGTGTTTCCCTGATAGTGATTAAGTGACAGATTTTGTATTGTACCATGGTTTCCAGCTTCTCCTGGTTGTTTTCCTAGCTGTGTGTATCCGTGTAGTGACACTTCAGCAGAGCTTTTGGCCACATTGTCTTCCTAGAGCAGTCCTCCTTTATTCCTCTGAGACAATTCACAGGCATTTCCCTGCTGCTTCTTAAAGTGGCAATACTCCCTTCTTCTTCTGTGTCACTGAGAAGTACATCCCCTTCCTCTGCTGAATCGATATGGCAACTTGCTCAGAAAGTGCATTGAGCTGGGCACACATGCACCTGTGACAAACACCCACCTCTGCCCTCAGACCCTGTGGAGACTTCCAGGCTTTGGAAATCCCTGTAACTCGGGGTCTGGGCCCTGCCTACACCCCATCAACCTTTCTGGTGAGGGTTGCTGGCTCCTGGCAGCTCTCTCCTGGGTTCCTTCATGCAGGAACCCCCCTGCACAGCATGATCCCCTGTTCTGTTTTAGAATATGCATATTCTGGACTGGAGCTGATAGCTTCCACTTTATATATACTGTATAGATACAGTATACACAGAAGTTATCAAAGAAACAAATAATAAAAGCCTGCTTTTTCACTTTTGGATTAAGAATTTCAGCACTGACTTATACAGGAGTAACCAACATGATGAAAAGAGTGATCATTTTATTATCCATATATGCATGGTTTAAAAGGAACTGTATAAATATATTAAACAAAGATACATATATTTAATGTCTAGGTTGCTTAACAACAGGTGACAAGTAAATTTTTTTATGGAGTGGGGAAAATTAGGATATTTTAGAGTAAGGAAATATGTCCTGTTTTAGCAAGTTATTGTCTGTATACTCCATGCTTCTAATGCCACCTCATTGGCTAAGAAAATACTGGGACATACAGTGGATTCTTTCCCCATAACAGCCTATGGAATTTTTACCATTGACTACACGAGAAACAGACCTGAGCTCAGGTAGACTGGTTAACTGGAATCATGAAGGCAATTGTACTCATTTCCTAAAGAGGCTTCCCAAACATTTTTACGCTTCTAGCACTTTTGCAAGGCTTGTGCCAGAATAGCTGATGCCATTATGATCAAGCAGTGAGAATGGGAGGGATTCCTAGCTGGTACTACACTAACATAGCTCACATCTGAAGTTGCACTATTGAACAGCTGGGAAATACATTTGAAGCCAAACAGTTCCAGGCTGCAACACAACTAATCTTGGTAGGTAAAGTGCCAAGTTAGGAAAGGATGCACAGCTCCTTTCTGGATTCTCAGTATGAATACCTTTTGGAGTCAGCATTTATACCAGAGTTGTCTTTTTTTTTTTTTTTTTTTTTTAACCCAATAGGCTTTGACATGAGAAGCATCTTGTGTGAGCTGGTACAGGGACGTGTGTACTTATAGCTTTCCATATCCTAGGAGTGGACCACAGCTTCTGGGCCAGTGAACATTCTACATCAGGTCTTCTAACTTCTACTGAAATTGTTCTATTTATTTTGAATAAGTATGTATTCATTAAGGCGAGAACTGGACTCTAACCCACAGAGATTCCAGGTAAATGTCCTATTCAGGAGCTTGTATAGTCAGTCTGTGTCTGTCAATCCCCGTTTTCTATTTGGAATGCAAAGAATAGCAGTTCTAATAGCAGTTTTAGATGACATGGTGGAACATGAGACAATAATGTACCCTTGCAGAAAACAAACAAACAAACAAACAAACAAAACACAACAGTATCTTGGGCTGCATTAGGGTGAGTAAGCTGGCAGGTTGCAAGAGGTAAGTCTTCACCTCCACTCAACACTGGTTGGTAAAGATGACCTTCCAAGGTCCCTACCAACCATTCAGTGTTTCTGTGAAATCAACTGTAAATTCTCTTCACAAATTATTGCACAACTGATATTGCAATCTAAGAAATTTTGCTCATGTTCACTTGCCTAAATTTATGCATCTAGGAGATTAGATAGTACCAGAACATGTTTTTGGAAGAAGATTTATGGAACATACATGCAAATTTTAGTGCAGTGCTGTACAGAGATATGCTTTGAGATACTGTGTGACATTAATCATTTTTGTAAAGCTGGCCCTTGTGAGCTGCAGTCCAGGCTCTCTCAGGTACTGAGAGTTTGCAGCTACTGTAAACAAAAAAAAAAAAAATTCAGGGTTGGATTTGACTTCCAGGAATTGCCAAGATTGTAAAATTAAATCAAATATTCCTTGCTACTTTTTTTTTTTTTTTTCAGATCACCAGGCAACATTTCTTAACCTAGATATAAAGAATTTGTAAGTCTTGATACTTGTCTGCTCTCAAGATGAATTAAAATTTTATTTTACACTTAGAAAGACATGAATGTGTTTGCTTCTATTGTTTACTCTGAGATGTTTTAAGCTGTAAACTGTATACTGTAGTGGACAGTCACTCCAAATATACCCTTCAGTTTGATCCCTAAGTTCTGAAAGCGCGTTGTTTCAGTTTGACACTAGAAACCAAAGTGGATTTTCTTTTTGTATATTAGAATCTCTTTACACTAACAACTCTTTATCTGAATAAATTCCTGTATTTAGATTATTAATACATTATTAAAAGTTCTTTTTTTAAAATTTGTAACTCGTAATCATGTTTCACTTAGATAGCTGGTAGTCTGTTATATCTTAGACCGATATAGATATTGATCAAAAGGATTTTAGTGTTGCGTTTGTGCAAAAAGAAAACCCGAACAATCTAAAACCCACTGCTTTTTCTTTAGATTTGTTATCTGCCACAGCCTATCATCTACCCACCAGCTCGTATTTCTAATTCCATCTCATGTTTGAGTACATATGATATGATAGTTACATGTGTGCTAGTGCTTATGTAATGGTTCTCCAGACAGCTTTCACCTCTTGAAAATGGCATGCTATTCTCTCGGCAAAAATTGTGTTTCACTCCTCACCCAGCTTTAATAACTTGGAAAAACATAATGTCTTCCTCTGTATATTCTGACAAATTTATATGAGACAAAACATTCAAAAGTTACTGAGAATGGACTGACAGAAACACAGCATAGTTTCAAAAATTCGTACTGCTTCAGGAAATCTGAGAAGAAACAACTGAGAGACTAAAAAGTCTGGTAGTTGTTATTATGATGAAGAAAACAGCACCTTCGGAGTAACAGTGAAATGATCTACTGACCTGTTACAGTTGAAGAAATACACTGAATTCCTGGATGCATCCATGATTTCTACTTTTTCCAGAAACCAGCCACTTGCTTTAACACAAAGAAAAAACAAATATGTATAATATATACAAAATATATCAAAAACACAAATAAAGCACAAGGAAGGTTTCTCATTTCATTTCCAAACCTGTGTGGTTCAATACTTTTGAAAGTACCCATTATCAGTAATACAACTGAAATGTTGATAATTCAAATGAAAAACAAATTCTTATGGTTTTACAGAGGAAGTCTGTGAGGATTTTGACAGAAAACATAAAGGAAATCTTTTATTACAACTTAACTCATTTTTCCACACTGAACGGAGACAGTATAAGACAAATGAAACAGTGCATGGCAATATCAGATACATTTTTGAAATCCCGTTTTACCATTCTCTATAGTCTGAAATAGAGGAGCAGACTGACCAAATGGTGTCAGACATGGAAGTGTGTGTGAAGCAAAGGTGTGTCATTGAATTCTTCCTTGTGGAAAAAATGGCAACCATTGACATTCATCGACACTTGCTGAACATTTATGGAGACCAAGAAGTGGATGTAAGCACAGTGAAGCAGTGGGTAGTGTGTTTCAGGAGTGGGGATGGTGACAGTGGGTCACCTCCACTGGTGCAGATTTCTATGAGCACAGCATTCAGATTCTTGTTCATCGCTGGCGAAAATGCATATCTGATGTGATGACAGTGTTAAAAAGCAGTCTTTTGTATCTGAGAATTTGCTCTATCAAATCGTGTAATTGTGCTCTTTGTGTCTGTTGTAGAATGATTTTCATGTTCTCATTTCTCAGGTAGCAGTGATTCAGAAGAGCATCTCCATTAAGGCCAATGTTTCTATCTGTCCTGGCTTTAAGAAAGTATTTAACACTCTAAATACAGCCAACTATTTTGTTGGTTGAAAAAATGCCAATCATTCCTGTGCTAAAGCTTTTTATTTCATGCAATATTTAAATATGATTTTTTTAAAATAAAGTTTTATTATACTGAAATGCAGAGATTATGCTGATGTCTTTTGGTGTGTTTGCCAATGCAAATACTTAATAACAACATTTTAAAAACTAATTAGAATCACACTGATATTGCTAGCAGCTGAAAACATTTTGGTATTCTTTGCACATCCTAGAGATTTTCATATTCACATATTTAGAGAAAAATATATATAGGCTAACAACCAAAATAATTTTATTTCTAAGTAAGCTAAAAATATAATGTAAAAATATTTTCGTACTGTACCAACTTAGATAAACGTGAAGGCTTAGCAACATTTCTCAATTTCCATGGACTTTTTCAAACAAGTATCTAGAATAACTAGGTCGTAAAGGTGCCCAGGCTTTTTATCTTCAATTCACAGGAGTCATTTATTGAAATTGCAAAGTATTTTCGGAACTTCTTTAATGAAATTTTGTGAATGCTTTAATATATCATAGGCTCTACTTGGAATATATGACCTTTCATGAAATCTCCGTAATTCAAAGTCAAGATTATTAGCAATAAAATTTTACAGTCTCTCAGATTTACACAGCACTTTATAAACAAATATTAAGCTACGTTTGCTCTCTTGAAAAGTTTATAAGCTTATGCTTTACTCTGTATTGACAAAACTGCAGCAGACCTCACTGAAAGCTCCAGGTATAAAGAAATCCAGAAGCAGATGGGAAAGATTAGCAAACACACATAACATTTCAAGGAGTTGCTACCTTTGCGGAAGCTTGTGCAGATAACAGCTGATGTGACAAGGGATATTTGGAAACAATTTCAGAGAAGAAAACAGAGGAAGGAAGAAATGGATTTAACATGAATTACCACACACCTGCTATGAGGGCAGTCTTTGCAATTACTACGCTTATCAAGATATAGGGAGGAAAGATAATATTGATGGTTTAGAATCCAGCAAATAGAGTTTAACCTGCATTTACTTTACAGACTTCTGTGCAACTCTCAGAGCACCAAAAGCCTGCTGATGTAGAATTCCCTGGTGTTAAACTGAATTGTATACAGCAGCTAATAGTAATAAAATGAAAGTCAGCAGGTCGATTTTATTTCAATAGATTATATATTTTTTGAGTTTTAAGTACCATCACGTTTGACATGATTGGGTAGTTTTTGTCATCATGATTTGATTTGTACATTGTTTGATCTGATGTGCTACAGTGTTTTCCTTATAGTTTAACTTTTACAAGAAGAAAAGCCATGTGTCAAGACAGTTATGTTATTCAACACATCTAATAAAAACTTTGGCTGAGCAATGACTGAAGTATAATACCTTCAGAGTTATGTACTAACTAGATCTCTGAAAGAAAAAAAGCAAAGATAAAATCAAAGGAAATCTGATAGGAACAGGGGCAGTGTAAGCAAGAGAAGTCAAACTGACCTCTGTATACAGATTCATATTAACTAGCAGTAGCAGTAGCATGTCTTCAAAGGCCTATCCAAATGTCAGGCAAGTCTTTAAGCAGAAGATTTTTACAAGCTTAGAGAGCACATGTAGTATACTTACCAAATCCTTTTCCATCATGACCAATTTCAATTGAACGTAGGCTTCCTAATTTTTTAGTCTTGATCTTGAATGTATCAACCTTTAATATTGAAAAACAGTTACTGAAAATAATACATAAATTTTTGAAAACGTATACCTTCATTCAGGTCAGCTTCAAATCTAAATGAAATGCAAAAATATCAATTCAAAATAGATGGATAAACCTGTTTAAACCTGAAAGCTCTGCTTTTCAACTTAAGTAGGAGAATCACTATCTCTTTCCTGACTTCCATATAACAGAAAAGTATTTTTGCTAGATATCATGAATTTTCAACTGATGCAACGTCTTCTATAATCTTTTCAGCTTACAGTACATAAATACATGTTCAAGAAATGCAAAAAATAAAGGCTTTTACACAATGTAGCATTATATCTACCAGATATTTCATTTAAAATATTCCCTTGTTTCATATTACAGATTTATGAAAAGAAAAATAATAAGATCCCTTTTTCATAAGGCATTCTTTAAAAATGTCACTGGCTCACATTGACTTAGCAAAATTGCTAATTAGCTAACAATGCAATTTCTGTGTATCTAATCTTTTTTCAAAGAGCAGTGATACCTTCAGTGTGCTACTAGACAAGACACTCTTTTGCTCACTCCTGCCTGTAGGTAAGTATCATAGGATCACAGAATCACAAAATGGCCAGGGTTGGAAGGGACCTCAAAGATCATGAATCTCCACCCCCTCTGACACATGCAGGGCCATCAGCCTCCACATTCAGTACTAGACCAGGCTGCCCAGGGCCCCATCCAATCTGGTCTTGAACACCTCCAAGGATGGGACATCCATAAACTCTCTGGGCAGCCTGTTCCAGCACTTCACCACTCCCTCTGTAAAGAACTTCCCTGATATCCAACCTAAATCTTCCCTTCTTCAACTTAAAACCATTTCCCCTTGTCCCACAGCTATCAACCCTTTCAAAGAGTTGATTCCCCTCCTGTTTGTAGGCTCCCTTTAGGTACTGAAAGGCTGCAATGAGGTCACCCCGCAGCCTTCTTTTCTCCAGGCTGAACAACCCCAGCTCCCTCAGCCTGTCTTCATAAGGGAGGTGCTCCAGTCCCCTGATCATCTTCGTGACCCTCCTCTGGACACTCTCTAACACCTCTCTGTCTTTTCTGTACTGGGGGCTCCAGACCTGGACACAGTACTCCAGATGGGGCCTCACAAGAGCAGAGTAGAGGGGGAGCTAAGTAGCTTTATAATCTTGTCAGTGTGAAAAACAATACCTGATAAAGATCTTTTAGAAGATATCCACAGCTATTTTTTCAGCTATTTCCTAGCTGAAAAAAAACTTGAACCAAATTGCATGTAAAAAGATGCTCAGTACTGCTGGAAATAACAAAGTAGATTGAACAAGGAAGATATCGTAATGGAAGTTTAAATTATTAGCCATTACCTTCCAAGAAATTTAAAGGAGAAAGGTATGGGAAATGCATTTGTTTCTTGCTATGTAAGGGTAACCATCATTATACTGCATTGCACAGATGATGAGGAAATGGAGGAATTCCTTTGCCAAATTAATATTTTTATTAAAAAGATGTGAGCATTCTGTTGAAGAACTAGGATGTCTTGCAGAGAATCAGCATTCTTGTGGATATATTTGCATCTGAACTATAAGTCTCTGGATATTCTAAGTATGATGGATATCAACATCAAGTTGGCGTGTGTGGTTCCATTTTGTCTGGCTGTAGGCTTATGCATTCAGCGAGGCTCACTGCATCAGTTTCCATGGCAAAGTAAAATGATGGGATGCAAGAGACGGATATATTCTCAAGCATAATATTCAAAGTTTGTGTAACAGCAAGGAATATTGCACATATATGTGCACATACACACGCAATGCATGTTGTGCATTTCAGAACAAGGAAATGTAACTGGGCAGATAAATGGAATCAATATGAGGACGTGTTTAGGACTATGAGAACAGCAATACAGTCAGCTAGACACAGCGGAGTAAAGTGTTCCTTGGTTACTCTGGAGAAAAGGCTAAACATAGAGATAGCTGAGACTATATCTCATGTAGTGATGAAAAATCAGAATAAATGCTTGAAGTTTTGTAAAGCTCTTGCACAGATTTCATATTTACTTTCCCAATCTAGAAATTGGTAGAAACCTATATGCTCACCATTCCTTTTTCAAAGGGATCTTGATGCTCCAGTGACTGAGAGAGGTGAAACACTTCAGATTTGTCTTCATTCCCAAATAAAACAATATGCACATTGGCATCAGTTCCTGCCCCCATTCTGTGACCTGTGTATACTTTGATAGTATACTCTGTCTGATTTCCTTCTTGACTTTCTTCTTTATTTAAGTCATTTATGCCATTATTTGGTTTGTCTCCTCCAATAACAAAAGATACTGGGATTTCTCTCTGTATTTCTGGCTTATTTGGATCCACAGAAAAAGCTCTGCAAAACAAAACCCATAATTTTTTGTAGTAAGTAAACCATATGTTAAATAAAAAACCCTATGAGTTTATATGGAACAGTTGAAGATGGACTTTCAAAATACTATACATTGGCTCACTCACCTCATGATGGTACATTTAATCCAGTGTCTCCTTACTGTTTTCATATACTGTGCTATAAAATGATTAGCTTTACGAAAGATACTTACTCATTCACTTCAAACACGTAGATAGGATGATCCCTTACAGAGTTTTTCAAATGCAATTTTTTAATGTCCAATTTGCAGTCTAAAAAGAAGCAAATAAAAGATAGCTATAATGTTTTACTGCACATCTTGGAATTAGATAGAGTCTGATGATGATGCAACAGTGTCTTTCATACTACATTAAAATATAATTTGTTAATTTATTTATAGTAACAATTCTCTATAAGATCCTGGTATTGTCCCAACATCCCTTATTTTGTTCCTATTTAAAACATCTACTTAGAAACTTAGGAGTAAGCACTTTCTTTGTCTTTGTGAAGTAAAAGATTGATGTCTTCACCACACTTGGAAGGGTATGCAGAACAGATTCAGCATGACTCAGGTTCATTAGAAGAGGGAGAGCAAGAATATGTGTCTGATGTTTCCTTCTTGGTTTACAAGAGTTAGAACTCTGTTCCACAAGCAGCACAAAGATTTACTGAATGACAAGTAGGAAGGAAGTTCAACTTTTTGTGTATCTCTGCTATATGAGAAAAACTGCTCTTTGAATTGCAATTGTGAATTTTCTGCTGGAGGCTAGTTGTGGAGACTACTTGCTTTCTCTTTTTTTTTTATATGATTTGTCCACACAGCACTCTTAAGCAAACTGAATCCCAATGTCTTCTGGTGTAATCCAAGTCCCTTTAATTATATCAGTGGTAGTGTAATAGTATCAGGCTCTTGGAGAGGAATTCAGGATATGGTGTAGCACTCATGACCTGCCCAGAAAGACCATGGAGACAATCAGAAGCTCAGGGATCTCAGGGACCATGCATGCAGTGAGGAAAGAGCCATCTGATCTGAAAAACTAGCTCAGATTGTGAAAATGTCATAAATAAATAAAAAAACCCCACACCATCTGAGTCCTGCAGGGCACATCTGAATTCATACACTAAAGAGCTTTCGGTCTTGAGGACTTTTTGTTCAAAGGGGCTATCCCCATCCTTCCCTTTCCCACTATAATAACTAGCTTCACATCATACCTCTACTGAAGCCTCCAGAGGCTGAGCAGATCATCCTGTGGTTCAGAACATGTTGGCTACCCAATCAGTATGTACATGCTTAGTGCCCAAACCTCTTTGATGATTATACATATTTTTCAAACTTGGCTGAAACTGGGTGGTGAGTTTAAAATATTACTATGAAGAGCCAACAGATAGGCTAACAAGACAGAGAAAATAGGAATGTATAACCCTTGCTTTTCAGGAAAGCCATCTGAAAATGGTCCACTGCAATACATAATAAGTAACAATTTGCAATTATACAGCAATTTTCATTAATGGACTCAAAAATATTTTACAGGAATACTTGAAAACATTTATAGAAAATACTCCTTAATGGCATGATTACCATCCTACAGATGAGGCACAGAGGAGTGAAAGTTTTGGTAATTTCAAAGGAATTTGGTGGCAAAACTACTGTTTGCCTAAAAGAGGTAAAATCCCCTTCATGACGTTACAGCAAGAAAACAGAACAGCCGAGGAAAACAGCAGAAATAACTATCACAGGACAACTGAACAATACCAGTTTCTTAAGTTAGAATAAGTACAGATTTCAGAACCAAGGATTTTAATGCATCAAAATGTAAGATTTTTCATTATAAAATATTATTATTTTTAAAACACAGCAAAAGTAAATTAATCACAGTGATTATGTTGCCTTTAACAGGAGGTAAGCTGTGTGATTCACATCATTAACTTCAGAGAGAAAGAAAAGTATGTTACCTTTCTTACTGCTGATTACGAGAACAATTTTGTCCACTTCTCCCAGTTCAACAGCATCCATGATGACAAGTAATGACTAAAATAAAAGCATTCAATATTACAATCTTAAACCATATTTTATAACCATATTGTATCTTAAACATATTGTATTAAGTGTATAAGACCTGAAAAGCATGTATAGGAAGTATAAGAACAAATTAAATGCTAAATTTTAGAGTAATTTAAGGTAGAGTACCTCACTGTCATCTCCCTGCTGGACATTCTGCAATGGCCAGAGAAGGGATCTGTCCCCTGTGTCGCCATGAGTACCATGTATACACGCAGTCATATGCACTACACTTCTGTCAGTCAATATATTTCTAGAAAATACTGTTAGATGATACGTAACCACTGCAATATCAAGCAGAAAGAGTCATGTTAATACCATTCCACAACCTTGCCCAGCTATTTTACCACATTGCAACGTGCAGTCAGGTGAAATTAAAAATGACACTTGACAATTATAATAAAATTCAATTTTTTCCATATTTTTCCGTAATTTTATCCTTTAAATGTCTTGAACACTAGTGGTTCTAACATATTTAAATGAGAGACAAAGGATAAATTACCACAGTTATTTACCTGTTTCTTTTAAATGGCAAATGCCTAATAGATAAAATCTTAATGAGTTCCAAACTCATAAATCACTTTGGGGATCTTTGCAAAGACAAAATTTAGCTGGGGAGTTCTTCAGATTTCATCACCTAAGACATGAGGGAAAACCTTCCTGCATGTAGTTCACAACATCTGAATTCCTATTTTGAATTTCATTGTAGAGGAGTACATCCTCTGACAACAGAGTGAGCCCAAGAAGACAAATCTATCTTGACAGAAGTTGGCACTCATGAGTTTGGGCAGTTTATGATTTACACAGTGGTTATAACATTTACTTAATTGAGGACAAGATAAGAACATCTGAACACCTTTGGAAATAAATACATTCACAGAGCATCTGTTTATGTTCATTTGCATTATATTCACAGAATCAAATTATGTGAGCATTCTGAATCTTTTAATAATATATCTATCTTCTCCTTTGTATTCCTATAGACACCTCAGTGGAAGGAGATGAATCTTGGCCTTGCAGAAGGTTTCTGCAGAAAATGGCAAAAAGCTAAGATAAAGGCAGTGAGTATTTGCAGACTACTTGCACCTTTTGGAAGTCAAGAAGACAAAGTATAGGTACAGCAAATAACAGGATGTTGTTATCAGCTTTCAGACCTAATGATCATCTAAATACTGTGTACAGAACAAGAACTTGCTCTTGTCTTGATTCCCTAGCATTGGTAATAGGGGAGAGAACAGACTCTTGATGCATGCATGCTGTAATTGAGCAAGCATATGGAAATAAATCCAAAGTGCCAAAGAGGTATACAGTTTTATCTGGAAAGGTAAAGCTTACAAAAAGCCCAGGAGAGAGCTAAGTTTAAAACGGAAATAAAAAATTGATGCTGCCTAAGTAATAATAAATCATGGCATGGTAGGATATTGGAGAAAAGATGAAATACAATGACTGAATGGGATATGGTACTGTTTCAAAGAAGGTGAAGAATGAGGAGAAGAAAAACTATACTTGGTCAGGGATGCAATGCAATGCAATCACTAGGTCACAACACAGAAGAAAGAAATCTGGGTAATGTTATTTTTGGCTGTATCTCTGATTTTATAAGTGATCTATTTTTATTATACTTGACCTCTGTTTTGATGCAAACTTCCAGATCTCAAACCTGAGATGTGAAGCTAGGATGGCATTCAGGAGACTCACTTTGAGGGTCAGTGTTAGGGACACCCAAGTGAGACTGTTCCATTAGGGAGGATGAGACTGGATCTGGGAGTGACCCCAGCTAAGCAGTGCCCTTCGTGTCCAGGAAACAGTCCTGCAATGTCTGTACATGGCAGGCAGTGCCATTAACAGTTCCAAACATGGCAAAAGATGAAACAGACCCAGAAATCATCCTGATGGTCCAATTGGGAACAACAGGGGAAAGGGACAGAGAAATGGCCAGAGACAGAACTGAACACAGGGCCATAACATAAGTTTTAAATCCATTCAGGATACAGGGCCAGAGACAGGAGTAAAAGCAAGTGTACATCTAGCATAACTCAGGTATGACTTTAAGTGATTGTCCTATGCTCATGTGCAGAAGGAGGTGGCTGGAGGCCCCAGACGAGGTTGGTCAGGGGAAATAAGATCTATAGCTTGTGATGGCCTTGACTGTCTGTAGCTGACTGAAGCTTGAGTTGAACCAGACTGACAAGACTAAAGAGTGGATATAACTGATAGATAAATTGTACAAAGAAGGACAAGGGAAGGAAACCAACGAAGGAAAGGGTAGAGTGCTAAAATTCTTTAAAAGTGTCTTTGTTCAGGTAGTGGGATCAAACAATCATATAAGTGGGCAAATGAGCTTTTATATCTGTAGTGAATATAATAGACTGGAAGGAGGAAAATGAAAGGAAATCTCTGAAAAGAAATTACATTCAGTGGGACAAATTAATTTTATAAAATTCTGACGATTTCATCTCTGTGTGAATTATAGCTCTATTTTAATTTTGTGAAAAAAAATCTGCTTTTTCTAAGTAGCAGAATATGTTTTTATTTAATCTTTTCATTAGTTCATTGTTTTGTCTTCAAAGCTACAGTAGTGCAAAGTTCATTCACCTTCTGTACAACCACATGAATGAGGGAGAGAGCATGTCTTCATCTCTGGAGATTCTTGAGGTGTAAGCAATCTCAAAGGAAGGGACACTACAGAGGAACTATTTTGTATATACTCAGTTGGAGGCCTCTTCCTATTAATGCACCCAAAAGGCACACGTGAGCTGGTACACTGCCACTTCTCAAGGATTCGCACCGTGTTTTATCAGCTGCATTTTGATAGCTTAAAATTAGCCATTGGAATATGCTTCATCACAGTCTCAAGTACAGAATAAAAAAAAAAAAAGAAGAAATGAAACCAAGAAATGAAATTCTAAGGCACTATAAGAATGATGGTATACCAAGCTGCATCTGAAATTAAACAGCACACAGGTTTTAGTTAAAGTGATTATGATCAGCTGCTTTTCATTCCAATTAATGCATTACTGGTTTTCTTTCAGCTGAAAAAAAGAAAACCAAGGAGAAAATAAATTAGATTTAGAAATCTGGCAGAGAAGCATATCTGTTTAGCACTATAAATTTCAAGTAGGTTTGTTTCTAAAAGATCACTTTGAACTCCATGCAGGCCACCTGCTGTGGAGCTGCTTAAGGCTCCTGGACATAAAATGGCAAAGATCTGGGGGAATGTGTTTCACATTGTCCTAGTTTTTTTCTTCCTTGTGGTTACAAATTCCTCAATGAGGACTTCTAAAGCATATGTGGAAGGAAACACATGCAACAACAACGAACTTTTGTTTTCTCTTTTACTTAATCACATAGATCATATAATAACTATACCTTCCCTGTGTTTTTTTTAACCAACCCACAGAAAATAGGGAAGTGACTTTTTTTCAGGCAAGTCAGTGATGGAGCCAGAACCAAAGTAATTAGGGCTCCAATCTCTCTGCCTATTTATCTTCCATACTGCATCTTACTGCCTGTGTTTCTGTGTGCATCTACATCTACCTTCAATACAGCTTCATGAGAGTGATCTGTCTTTTGCAAGGGGAAGTCTTGTGCTTGTGCTAATCTGAAGGACTTTTTTTTTTTCAAACCTGCTTATAGCCGACAAAAGCCGTGACACCCTACTCTGTATCTATACTGTGCAAGTCTTTTCTTCAAGTGAAAATCACAACTCTAAGCCATATAAAATATGACATTTATATTTTAATTTGCATTAATAATATGGAAAAAAGAAAAGAATCACCATTAATTCTACTGTTTGTATGCTTATAACTAGACATTGATAAACATCTCACTAAAATTGGGTCATTAGTCCAAAGAGTATTGGAGTCATTCATTTAACACCTTATCCATATCACTGAATAAGTCAGAATAACTGACTTATTCTTTACTCATTTGTTTTCTGCATGAAACTCAGACATAAATTATTTTAACATTAAATATAATTATTTGATATGTTTATTGAGAATCATTCTCTCCAATGGTAGCATTTAATGAGAATCACATTACAAAAGTATGGAAGATATGGTAGTTTTTAGGTGAAAGGATTTCTTTTATATTGCTTAATAAAGATAACATGAAAGACAGTTGTTGGGCTAATTTGAACAGACATAAGTGTTTGGAGTGCATAAGAGTAATGATAAAACTTATGTTTATATGTCATTTTAAGCTTTTTTTTTTTAATTATTTCACCAAGAATATTGGTTGGAACATACAAACAAAAAAAATCACTTAATAGGAAGATATAAAAATAGTAATGCTATAAAAATCATGCTATTAATATCAGTAATATGAACAGCTGAGGACTAAACACAGAATAGAAATATTATGATGTTACAAGAAAGAAATATACCTTAACATTATTCTATATAGCTTTTAATAACAGTTCTGTATAAGCAAGTAAGTATTGCACTTCACACTTTACGATACACAGGAATTAAGCTGAGTTGATAGTATTTTCCTTAACACATTTTAAATTCTTATCCAGACTTTATGAATCATTAAATAAAGTCAATAAAATTTTCTGTTTTGATAAACTGTTATATCAAGACATGTTAACTTCTGGGACCACTCTACTACCTTTATGTATGTTCTTACCTACCAGAAAGTGCTTCTTTTAATGGCCACTCTACAGGGAATTCAATCCATCTGTCTCCATTAAGAGAAAGAGGAAGTGTTTTATTTATAGTGAGACTAAAGGTATCCAGGGTTGCTGTGTTCTGCATTTTAAAGTGATGAAGAGACAAGTGTGATATGCTGCTTTCCAAACTCTGGAATCCAAGTCTGACTTTATAAATGATACCCAAATCAGATGGTAAATTTATCTAGGAAGTAAAAAAAAAAAAAAAAAGAAAAGCCCTGTAAGTTAGAAATGAAGATACATAGACACATGTGTAACTAATTTTAAGGAAAGGGAAAGTTTCTCCCAAGGGATCAGCAATGATGTAGAATCATAGAATTGCTCAATTTGGAAAAGACCTTAAAGATCATTGAGTCTAACCATGACCTAACCATACTACCCCAACTAACAACCCTCTGATACATCATGTCCCTGAGCACCACATCCAAACGGTTTTTAAACACATCCATGGATGGTGACTCAACCACCTCCCTGGGGAGCCTATTCCAGTGCTTAACAACCCTTTCTGGAAAGAAGTTTTTCCTGATATCCAACCCAAACTTACCCTGGTGCAACTTGAGGCCATTTCCCCTTGTCCTGTCACCTGTCACCAGAGAAGAGAGGATTCCAACCCTGCTCTTACTGTAAGCACCTTTCTGATACTGGAGTAGAGCAATAAGGTCTCTCCTCAGCCTCCTTTTCCCCACACTAAACAGCCCCAGTTCCTTCAGTCACTTTATAGCCCCATTAGCATCAGTCCTGATGCAAAAATTCAATGGGCTCAAATGCAGTAGAACCAGGCTGACTGTAGACACAGAAAAACTATCTTTGTACTCCAGGGGCATTTACTGGAATTATTCTATCAAATTCAAATTACATACTGCATTGATTTCTTAATGTAAATACTTAATGTCATGTAAATTGAGATGCATTATTAACTATGACTATTTGTTGACATAAAAAAAGAATATACTTGATCAATGTGAACTTGAAAAATAAAAAGAAAGAAATCTGGAACACAATTCAAAATTTCATATATTTGAATATTTAAAGGATAACATCTGCAATATTTACATTATATACTATATATGTTATTATCTCTCTGAATAAGGAAACTTAAAGAAAATGCAAATACAGACAAGTCTATATACTATTTTACATCGTATGTTATTTGGTTCTTAGCTTGATGTTCCAGTTTGTTTTCCATGGAAACTGGATTTGACTTGCCGTTGCTTCCATAAAAAACCATAACCAACTTGGATATATTTTCTGACAACTTTTCAAAGTCTTTTTTTGTTTCATCGTGATGTTTTGTGAAATAAATCCTCCATCTGCCTTCTGAGCAATTAAAATAGAGAAAATAAAATGGGAAAAATAAAGATTAAAAGGTATTCCTAATTTCATATGTTAATCAAAGAACCTGATATAAAATTCATAAAATGTATTTTAGTGTACATTATTATATAAGCATTATTACATAAGCATTTCATTTGTATGTAGATCAGCTTCCTAATATATTGATATTTCGCACTATTACAAAAGGGCAAATACTGTCACTATCATTAAATATAATGCCATATTGTGATGAAAACATTCTCCCATTATTACTTGAAAACTGATGAATGAGACAGTGGATGCAATCCCGGAAGCTGTACCTGAATTCCTTTGCTCTTTTCCTAGAGGATAGGCAGAAGTGCTCTTCTGCTCTTGGATTTCTAATTAAAAAAAGAAAAAGATTGAAGACCAAATTAATAATTTTGTAAAACGGTATCCAAGTAATAATAAATGTGTACATTCATGTCTAGTGAGGCAATTGACTAAGTACTGTATCATATAGATTAAAGATTTAATAGGAAGTGTACAATGTGATTTTCTATCTAAGTAACATCTATACATCACCTATTTAATGAAGTGACTCTAGTGTTACCTCTTTACTGTGAAGTGGTTGTAACCTGAAGGTTCAAGTGTTTTTCACTTGAAACATTTATACAATTAATGCTGCAGACAAATCAGAACTAATGGAATATTTGTGCTGTCCTTTTTCAGGATTGCTATTCCTTCCCCTTGTCGGTTTCAGTGGATCTTGGTATAGATCAAAACTGCTTGTACACATTAGATAGAGGCTTGAACCAAAGATGGAAAGTTCTTTCAACTTCTTTCAATTAGGTTTGAATTTGCCATTTATTATATAAAATTAAATAAAACAAACAAACAAACAAAAAACCTTGAAACCTTTCTTCTACCAAATCACAGAATTACTGGAGCACAAAGTTTGGAAGGTATGACTGGAGAACATCTAGTCCAACCTCCTGCTAAAGCAGATTCCCTTCTGAAGTTGAGGTTGCATAGTATAGTATCCAGGAGGCTTTTGAATATCTCAAGAGATGAGACTCCACAAGCCCTCTGGACAACCTGTTCCATGGTTCTGTTACTCTCACAGTAAAGAAGCTCTTCCTCATGTCTCTGTGGGGCTGTGTTCCAGTTTGTTCCTGTTGCTCCTTGTCTTGTTGCTGGACACCATCAAAAAGAGCCTGACCTCACCCACTTGGCACTAGGCACTCTCCATTTAGATATTTATAAGCATTGATAAGATCCTCTCTCAGCCTTTTCTGCTCCAGCCTGAACAAACCCTGGTCTCCCAGCCTTTCTTCATAAGGAAGATGCTCCAGGCCCCTAATCATCTCTATATCCCTCTGCTGGACTCTCTCCAGTAGTTCCCTATATTTCTTTAACTGAGGAGCCCAGAACTGGACACAGTACTCCAGATGTGGGCTCACGAGGGCAGAACAGAGGGGAAGGATCACCTCCCTGGCCAAGGACACCACAGATCTTCTTGGCCAAGAGAGTAAACTGTTGGCTGTCCACTAGGACACCCAGGCCCATCTCTGCATAGCTCCTTTCCAGCAAGTCAACACCTAACCTGTACTGATGCATGTGGTTATTCCTTCCCAGGTGGAGGACTCTACACTTGCTCTTGTTGAACCTCAACAGGTTCCCCTCCACCCAACTCTCCAGCCTATCCCAGTCTTGCTGGATGGCAGCACGGCCTTCTGGTGCTTTGACAACTCTTTCCAGCTTTCTATCATCAGCTTGTTGAGGGTCCATGTTATTAATTCATCCAGGTCATTGAAGAAGATGTTCAATAAGACCAAACTCAAATCAATGTATTCTTGTAGAAATAGTAATAAATAAATAAATAAATATTTTTTGTTTTTCGTTTGTTTTAAATTTTGAGTAAAACCATATTGTATTATCTTATATACACTAAATATGTGTTACATATACACAGTGGGAACACAAGGGGTTGTATCTAAACGTAAGGAGACTTTTCTTTACTGTTAAGTTGACTGGGCACTAGTACAGATGCCCAAAGCATAGTGTTATCTTCCTCCTTGGAGACTTTCAGTGGTAATTGCTTTCTGGGCAATCTTCTCTGGCTGGTCCCAATTGACAGCAGCCCAAAGTAGGTTCTGTTTCTGGCAAAAACTACCTTACCACCGTGGCACAGACAATGTAAAACATTCTTCTTGGTGACCTTTTCTCCATTGCTTATACATAATTTGCCCCACTATTTACTTCACTTTTATTATGTCTAGCAAGTGGCGGGCAGAAGTATTAGCAGCTGAAAAAAGTGTTTGAAAGCAGTGAAGTGGAAGTAAAACTTGGAGAGGCAGCCTTTTGTAAAGGGAATAGGACAAATTTATTGCCATTTACTCCACTGTAAATCTGGGTTAACAATACAGAAATTCTCCTCTGGCAAATAGTGGTTATTAAAAAAAAAAAAAAAGTGTTTACTATTGTTTCCTATATAATGACAATGCTCTACTGTGAACTATTTTAAACCATAACTTCTTTGTAGATGCAAATCACATAGCTACATTCTGCCATTTGGAATGAATTTTTTTAGCAAAGGATAGTTTGAGGATTGTATTAACCTGTGGCATTCAGAGTTACTGAGGCAGATCTTTTCCCATCACGTCTGTCTTTTAGCCATGTTTGAGCCATAAACAATGTTTCCATCCCAGAAGTTGCTAATTCTTTCACAATAATCTTCTCCAGAAGCCAGTCAGAGCCTTTTCCTTTCTCAACCACTATATCTTGCAGAGTCCCAATATCTACTGCCTCCAACTGAAAAACATCTACCTGGAAAATTCAGAATAAAAAAAACATGACTACTGAAATAGAACCAAGCTAAGTTAACAGAGTATTTTGAAATACAAAGGTGACAGAAAAATCAGGATTATTTTCTTCAGTAATTTAGTAAATATCAACAGAACTAGAGATGGCAAATTTAAAGACGCAAAGCTCCTGCATCAAGCAGGACTCCATTTGTGGTTCTGCAATTTATTTCTACAACACTTCCACCTCCCCAGATGGATCGATCCATTCCTCATGCTCACCTCCAAAGAGATTTTCATTACCAAATTTAACATTTAAAAATTTACAGTGAAACCATTATAAACACTTCTTATTTTCAGCAAAATATACCTACCTCCTAGGACACTTTTTTGAGGAATGAAATGCAGGGAATGAGAAGAATTCAGAAATTGCATGTTATTCTCTTCAGAAAGAATGGCAAACACAGTCCCGGATTTGAATTAACGTTTTTAAGATTAGTTATAACAAAATTAATTGAACTTAAGTAAAATGCTAGAAAAAGTTAAGAGTTTAAATTAGTTCTAACATTCACAGTAGATTACAAAGTCCACAAAATTTTTTAAATATTGACAATGCCCAAGTAGGATCCCTAAAGAAAATTGAGAGATGTTATATATTAAATTTTTTTCAAAGTACATGATTTTGGCTGATTATGGGTTTTATATCTACTTGCTTAGCTGGAAAGAAGAGATTAATTTCTTGGCACAGAGACCTTTCATATGTTTTGCTTTATACATTTGTGAAAGAGTACTGCATTCCTATAAGGGTTCATAACTTGTAGAATCAACTGTTATTTGCAATGATATATGTAGTATTATTTAAAGAGATAAAGTTGTTTCTCAAGGTGATTGGATGACAGTAATGTTAACTGAATCATGAGAAGTCTTTGCAGCCTAATTCACTTCAAAGTTGCTTAGCCAGGACAAGATGGCAACAATCATTATTCAAAGGATCTCAGAGAGACAAGAGAGAAAAGCAGACCTCTTGCTTTGTAACTACATATCTGTGTTCCTTAGTCAGGTGTTCCAGTTAAAGAACTGATGAAAGATTTGGGGCACCAACAATACCAGCTTGCAAATTAATCACAGCCGCACAGACTGGTTGAAGTTGGATGAGACCTCTGGGTCTATCTGGTCCCATCCCTTACTCAAGCAAAGCATGTTGCTCAGAACCACATTCAAACTGCTTTTGAAGATCTCAAAGGAGACTCTACAGCCTCTCAGGGCAACCCATGCCGATGGTCTGTCACCTTCATAGCACAGAATCACAGAATCATAGAATGGGCTGGGTTGAAAAGGATCGCAATGATCATGTAGTTTCAATCCCCGGAAAGTTCTTCCTATGTTCCAGTTTGTGCCTATTGCCTCTTCTTCTGACATAGGGCACCCTGAGAAAAGCCTGTCTCCATATTCTTTGCAGTGTTCCTTCAGGTACTTACATTTTCAACTTATTGTTGAAATCCCCATGAGCATTCTCTCTTCCATGCCAAACAGTCCCAGGTCCCTTAGCATCTCCTCACAAGAGAGGCAGTGCACAGTATCTTGATCATATTGGTGGCCCTACACTGAACTTTTTCCAGTATGTCCATGTCTGTCTTGTATCTGTGTGTGGGGGGGAGTGGAGGAGCAGAGCCAGGCAGGACTGCACCCAGTACTCCAGCTGCACCCTCATGAATGTTAAGTAGAGTTCACCACTCTTGGTGATAATTGCTTGTGATTATTTGTCTAATGTTGCCAATAATGAGACCCACCATGAGACAAAATATTGAAGTTAAAATTGCAGATCACATTGCACACATTCAAAAAAAGATCCCCAAGCAACAAATTAACTTCAGTTCTTTTCTTCCTTTGATCCTTTTTTAGTGAGATACCTTTAACTATTTTCCTCATTTTTCATTTGTGTGTGTGTGTGTGTGTGTGTGTGTGTGTGTGTGTGTGTGTGTACGCGCGATTGGGAACAATTGCTTTAATACTTCCCTAAAAAATAATTGCCAACCTGTTGTTGAATTACTCAGCAGCTTCTTCTAGACTGAAAAACAGTGTTATTCAAAACTAACTACACTGCATCATCTAACCATCAGGCTGTGTTGTCATATGAAAGAGGAAAATGAGAACAGCAAGCTGAAAACAATCTTAAGAAAAAAAGTGTTAAACACTTGAATTGCTGTTCTGCCTTATGATGAGGTTTTCAGCTACTTGGTGAATTTAGATTAGCAAATATGTAAGAAGGAAATTAAAGTTTTCAGGATAAGGATGGACTCCAGCAGCAAAGCACATACACTGTAAGGACTGAAATTCTTGGTGGACTGCAGGAATGCAAGAAAAGAGCCTTCTCTTTACATTTTTCATAGTTAAGTCAAAAAAAAAAAAAAAAAAAAAAAAAAGGCAAAGTTAAATGTCAAGATCATAATTATATTTTATTACTTACTGGATTTATTTCATGACTGAACACCACTAATCTGAACTCTTAATTTTCTTTAATTGTGATATAAGCTCGATCACTTCTTTATTCTGTCTTTACCTGTATTGATAAAGACGCAGCATTATGCTCATATAAGCACATAAATGCTTATTAAACTGTATTAAAATGTACAGAGACAGAGCACAAGCGAAAAACACAGACAAACTTGACAAAGAAGCATACAGATTCTTGTCTCAGCTAGTAAAGCATTCTAAGTCCCCATAATCTGAAAATTTATCTTAAAAAATACTAATCTCTTCTTGAAAACAGTTACGCTTATATTAATACAAAATAATTATTTCATTGGAAACAGATAAAGAAGTTCATGTCAAATTATAATCCTTGTTAAACTAGAATTCTTTTTAAGACAAGAGAGTTCTCCAAGGATGGGTAATTTAATGACACTACCACCATCACTTCCAAAAAAATCTGCTGTCAATGAACCACTTTCGGAAAGGAGAGAAGCTTGCAAATGAAGAAATATACACAGAATATTCTGCCGATTTTTAAACTTGTGCTGTCTCCAAAAGTAGCCTAGTTGGGTCTGACTTGCACTAAGTTTGACAGTTACTAAATTCTATTAAACTAGAAATTTCTTCACACAGCATCAGCTAAAGAATTTGTGTACCATTCTCCCTAGTGTCCAACCAAAAGCAGATAGTAACTCAGGTGCAGTACATATTTTGGGTTACTCATAACCTGGATAATCCACCTACAGATAACAGTTTCTACATATTGTTAAAATTTGAAATATCATTTTTCCTTGGAAAAGATGTATATTTTGGCTAAATAAACATGAAAATGTCAGTCTGCTTTGCAATAGGCATACTATCTCAGCATTTTTCAACATACAATCTCAATGTGCCCATTTTAGAGCATATAAAATCTCAGAAATTCATGCTAAAATCTGCAGAAAATTCAGCCATGTCATAAATTAAAAACTGAAAAAAAAACTATGAAGTAGACTGGGAATTTTGACAACTGAGGTAAACACATCTCACAGAAAAGTTTACATTTTGTCTTGCTGTGTATATATACAAAATGTAATGAGCTTTATTGTAGCCAAGAGCCAAAAAGAAAAAAAAAAAAGAAGCAGCAACTATAATTGTTAGAGATAGATGACTGATTTGCCAAAGAGAATTTAGTTGCCAAATCTAATCCACTTTTCACAAGCTATCTGCAAATAGAGAGATTTCAATATAATATTAACTAATTTAATCATTTTTAATAATTTAATATATTTCTGGACTCATTTCAGATGATGGGCTACTCGCAAATCAGAATAAATATGTAAGCCCAGCATTTGTGTAGCATTGCATCAACACGTCTTAGATGCCAGAAAATACTTCCTCTCTTTACATGATTTACAAATGAGGACCTTTTAAGTCACTGAAGGCTTAATTCTTTTGCAAAAAGAGAGAAGGAGAAAACACAGAAGATAGATAATCCTACAGGATATTAAAGCTTTAGAAACTCACCTTAGGGAAAACAGTGCTAATATTTGTTTTAGTTACTACTAGCAAATTGCATTTGAATGAAGAAGTGTCATGTTAAATATTGATAATAATACATATTCTCTAATTCAGATGGTCTTATATGGAATTTGCTCAGAATAGTCTGAGCAGAAAGATACTCCCCAAGATTGAGAAGTTGAAACAGGCAATGTGAGAGCCTGCATCATACCTAGGAGAACTCCTCTTGCAAAACCTGAATTGATGCTCTTCAGATTTTTCAGGTAGGAAAATAAACATTGAATAAAAACAATCATGCCAGCAACATTTTCAAACTACTGAAAGTTTAATCGTTGCTAACTTCCTTTCAGATTGTTTCTGATTGCTTCTTTTCACCCCTGGACCTGTGTTCTGAGCATTTCCTTGTCATCTATAACCCAGTTCGGCTTTATTTAGTGCTCCTCACTGTCAGTGCTAGCCACACATCAGATTGTAGCAGTTGCAACGGCTCTTGTAACAGAAGAAACATTTCAACAAACACTATGTAATATTTACCTTTAAAAATGCCAATCATTTTATAGACTCAGTACAGAGAGCTGATGGTTGGTTAATGATGATATTCCCAGCAGAACTGAAAATGGCAAGTCAAGACACACCATATGCTTAATCTCATCAACCTTTATGCACAAGTGATTTGCCGTAACGCTAATGTTACTATCATTTTAACAGGATTTTATTGGAAAAGAAGTTAGTGTCTAGATAAAGAACCATTTCTATTAAGCTTAGAAAACTTAGTGATTTTCTGCCTGATTGTTTTGACCTCCCTTGTTAATCAGGAGATATTCCATTGAAGTCAAAACAGTTTTAGAACTGAGAGGCAAAATAAAAGCCCCAGTAACACTGAACCTGAATCAGAAAGAGCATCTGAAAAGTGTCTGAACATTCCTGTAGAAGGAAAAAAATATCCCTTTTCAGACTCAGGTTACATGTGCTTTTCATTCAGTTATGCTGAACAGAACTACACTATCCTGTCCCAAATGTTTGCTTATTCCTACCTCTGCTTAAATGGAGATT